TGTTAAGAGTGTTTGCCCAATTTCAATTTTCTAAGGCTCTCCTGGTTATTAAATGCCTAACTTATTTAACAGACTTTTGTTGTTATGAGTTAACGACTGGGCCCGGTTTTAGTCTTAGTTATACTTCTCATTTTTAATTTTATAAGGTAGAACTTGGATTTATGCAGTAGTTTTATGAACTTGATTTAAATGAGTCTGCTGATGAGAAATGGATCTGATAACGCCAATAGTCTGATGTATTTACATAAGGGTAGGGAATGCTGCTTCATGGAGCCCCTGAGGACATCATTCTGTAGTACCCACCCAGGCCTAGCCAAGGATTATGTTAATTGTCCTTCACCTAGCATGGCCCTACTGTACCCATTCAAGGATGTTTTTTATTTGTTTGGTTTGGTTTGGTTTTGGTTTTGGTTTTGGTTTTTGAGACAGAATTTTTCTGTGTAGTCTTGTCTCTCCTGGAACTCATTCTGTAGACTGGCTTTGACCTTAGAACTCAGAGGTCTTCCTGCCTCTGCCTCCAGAGTGCTGGGATTAAAAGCTATCATGCCACCTGTAGCACTTTTTCTTAAAATTTTCCTTTATTTGGGGTGTTTAGGCATCTACCTCCCTTCTACCAACCACCCAGTCTTTAGGAAAGAAAAAAGGTTGATGGAGAGAGGGGGCACAGACCCCTTTACTTCTGGCTGTTTAGGGTCAAGGGGTTCTTTGAGGCCTCTATACTAATCTCTGCAGACATAGCCAGCAGTCTCTTCCATGCTGCTGTGCCCCAAAGCCTTTCTCTCCGTCTGTCTGCTCCAAACTGCAACATTTTCTCTCGTCTCTACAAACTGCTGCACACCACACAACAACACTAAACACCACACCAAATGACGCACCTTTTCTTTCTGTGTCTCATTTATACTGAGTCCTAGACCGCACCCTTCTCCATGCAGCACTTGAAAGGCCTTTACCAACTGGCAAAAGCCATGATCTGCAGGAGACAGTTAACAGGTATGGACAAACTATAGCCCAACTAAATTCCCACACTTGTGATTAAAACAAAAGCTTATTTACATAACATACAAAGAAACCAAAACTTGCATTACACTGGCCCATTACCACTTTTGATCTGAGTTTAGAGATTACCTGTTTCTGTTATGTTGTTGTGTTTATCTGTTCTACTTTTCTATGGCATTCAATTGATTTTTGTACTACTTAATCTTAGTTTCTTCCTAAAGAGTTCACCAGAACATACCCTCCTCACCCCCTATCCCACAGTTTTTGAGGACAGGGTCTCACTATGTAGGACTAGCTGTCCTGGAGCTTGCTGTGTAGACTATGATGGCCTTGAACTCATAGAGATCTGCCTTCCTAGGATTGAAGATATGCCCACTGATCACTTCTCTTGAGATGATTAGGTGAAAATACAGCCTCATCTATAAAGCCTTTCAGATGGTAAATATTTCTCTTCTGTATGAAGACCCCATGCTATACTTTCATGTTATCTCCCCCCCATACTCTTTTTCTAATTTCCTGTCATCTGTATTTTTAAAATTGGATTTCTTTTAGCATGTATTTTCCTGAATCAAATCTCATTGGACAAAACCTTTCAAAATACTGAGCACTGTATTTTTCATAAAGATACTTGCAGACTTTAGGGGTGACCTGAGATACTGTCATCCCTGTAGCACTCCACCGCATGAAAACCAAAGAAGCAATTTGGCTTGCCCAACTTTCAGATGATTCTCAATCTCATCAAGCTGACAATTAAGGCTTAGTTCACACCGAGTGAACCATTTCCTCAGATAAAAGTGTGCTTTCCTACTGAATTAAACCATAGTCCAGAGTATAAGAGGCGGTTGTGATTTTTTTTTAATGGCAACACTTTTATCCAACAGAAGACTATTCAGAAGAAAATAGCCTTATCTTCAGTGTGTGTGCATGCGTGTGTGTGTGTGTGTGTGTGTGTGTATGTGTGCACATGCTGCATCTGTGTGCATGTGTGTGTGTGTGTGTGTGTGTGCATTTGCACACTCAGCCTGTGCACATACAAGTGTGTATGCACATATGTGCTCACAAGTGTGTGGAGACCAGAGGTTGACATAAGGCTCCTCCACAATTGTTCCCCTTATCTTTTGAAGTCTATCACTGAACCTAGAACTCAGCAATTAGCCATACTGGGTGGATAGTGAGCTTCAGGGAACCTGACTGTCAACCAGTACCCTAACCCTCGCTCCTAGCTTGGGGATTACAGATATGTGTGAGTCCAGCTTGGGGCTCTGAACTTCAGTGAGGTAGATACCTTACCTGATTGGGCCATCTTTGGTTTTTCAAAACAGAGTTTCTCTGTGTAGCCCTGGCTGTCCAGCTTTGTAGACCAGTCTGGCCTTAAACTCAGAGATCTACCTGCCTCTGCCTCCCAAATGTTGGGATTAAAGATGTGCCACTTGTGGATGCCCTTGACTTTGGCCAAATATTACCCATATATATAATGATTTATTTTATTATGCTATTGTAATTTGAAAACACTGCCAAAGAGATAGATTAACTGAGCAGTAAAAACCAACACTATATTAATTTGTTAGTCTAGAAGAAAGCCTAAGTCTGATTATATTATTGTGTTTATATTATAAATATTTTATTGTATTTATTATTTTTTAATAAGCCATCTCAATGCCCACACAAATATAATCAACTATTGTACAAAAATAACTAAGTGTAGGTAGAAGAGTTTTCCAACAGATGTTGGTGGAATAAAGGAGAATCTCTTTGTCAGGGAAATGGACATAAGTGCATGCCTGATGGCTTTCACAAAAAATTGGCTTACAGTGGATCACAGACCTATGTGTAAAACCCAATATATGTATCTTCTATGGAAAAAATGTAGAGGAAATCATTTAAAGTTGTCTTTGCTGGTGGACTTAGATATAACACACAAAGCAAAATCTGTATATGAATAGGTAAGTTGGGCTTCATTAAAATTAACTTTGGCTCTGTGAAAGAAGAATAAGCCACAGATTTAGAGAAAAGATTGACAAAATGCACTGATAAAGGACTTGTATCCAAATATACAAATAACTCTCAACAATAAGAAACCATCCAACTGGATTTTACATTTTCCCAAATTGGGACCAATATTCAAACAGAAATTTTATGAAAGAATATGTGCAGGTGGCATATAGCTGTATAAAAGAATTTCCACCACAATTTTTCATTAGAGCAATGCCAATGAAAACAATAACAAAGCCATTGCACCACGTGGGAAGCAGAGACGGGAAGATCAAGAGTTCAAGGCCAGCCTTGAACTCCATGTTACATTTGAAGCTGGTCTGTGCTATGTTAAACTATCTCAGAAAGAAAACCGACAACAAACCAAGAACAGCCAGGCCAGAGGGATGGAGTAAAGAACAAAGAACTTAGTACCAAACAGACAACCTGAGATTGTCCTTTGGGTCCCATAGGGTGGAAGAAGAGAACTAACACCCAAAAGTTTATTTTAGACCTCTACATGCTTGCCGTAGCATGTGCATACCTTCCTAAAAAAGTAAATAATTGCAATAAAATATAAAATTAAATAAAAATAATAAATACAATAAAACAACCATGGCCAGCATCATAGCAACAATTGAGAAGGTATGTTGGCTCATGCCTGGACTGAAACAGGTTTGAGGCCAACCTGGGATACAGAGTGAGGTCCTGTTTCAAACACATGCCTACTTACATATAAACATAAATAAAATAATAATGAGATACTGCTGTGCAGTATCTTAAAATGACTAGAATGATTTATAGGGAAATAGATTAGACTCTAGTTCCAGACTCAGTGTGTAGTTATGCCTAACATAGATGGAGATGGACATACAGGGACATTCATATATCTTTACATGCATACATATATGTGTATATTAGTATGTTTATTAGCATACACATATTGTCTTGCTCTCTTACCTGAGAAGACCTAAAAGCCATGGCACCCTGCTAACCACTAGGACAGCTAGCCCCAGATCTTAGTTTCTTGTGCTTTTCCCAAGAAAGAAAGCAAGAGAATATAGACAATAAGATTCTTCACAACTTAAGGCCATAAGTATACAGAATACTTACAGAGTGTCTTGAATTGCTAGAAAGTAAAGCCACAGGCAAAACCCTATCTAAGTGGAGTGTAAAAGGAACACAGGGCCAACTGAAAGAGTTGTCAGTAGCCAAGACAGGGACAGTTTGAGTAACAAAGAATAACATAGTATTGAAATAGAACCAAAGTACAAAATATCCACAAGTCCAAAATAAATGTTCAAATAAATAAATGATAGAAAACAGACAAGTCTCTCATGCAGACATTCCAACTAGTTATATAGATATTTGGTCTTCAAGAAGATGGAGTGGGATTCTCAAGTCCTCATGTGTACCATGTCACACAGTACGTTGATCTTAGGGAAAGGGTAACCACAATGGGCACCCTTAAATAACAGTAGTCAAACCCATGGACCAGGGTTCATTAGGAAAGTCACTGTTGGTAGTCTGACCTTTGAGACGGTTTGATAAGAGTGCATTATGCCCATAGTCTTCTTCCTCCTAATTACTAGAAAACATTAAAATCAATCCCAACAAAAGATGTTCTACTATATTGCTAACTGATACTGAAAACTCTCAAGGAAATCAAGAATCATCATTCTCTTGGAGACCTTGATATAATGATAGTAAAATATAATAAATAGCATGGTATATTGGAGTGGACCTGGGAGCTGATGAAAGATGTTACATAGACACTCAAGAAACCTGAATGATGTATAACTTCAGTTAATTATGTGCCAATGCTGGTTCATTAATTGTGACAAATGTACCACAAAATACAAATAATAGGTTAAACGAGAACTCTATAATCATTTTTTTTGTAAATCTAAAACTCCAAAATAAATTTCAGTATATAAATGAAAGTAAAATTTTCATTTTAAAATGCATTTATTGTACTTATTCATTTAAGTGCCGCCTCAGACACCCCTCCTAACCCGTTTCTTCTTTTACAGATGTGTATTGGTGACCTGCTTTGGCCAAGTCTTAAGCTAATGAATGCTACTTTACACCAAGCAAGATGCACGGATACCCAGCCAGTGCTGTGGACCCAGTGTTGAAGTGCACAAGACAGGATTTCCTTGTTGTTTTCTTAGCATCCCTTTAGGTAACTTTTCCATGTTGTTTTTCCCCAAAACTTCTCTGAGTGGCAGAGCTACATGGAGTTCCTCAATGAGCACTGATGTCCTTTGACCTCCAGTTGTTCTTAGTCTATAGAAAAGTCGCCAGAAGGTAGATGTCTGTGAGTGTGTGTGTGAAGTTGACTTGTTTGTTCTCACATCCAACTCTGCTGGCTCATGAAGGTTGGGGACATTCTGCTACCAAAGCCACAGTGATAGCAGTCCTCTCTATTCATCTACTTCTTCCAGGTCCCACTAGCAGCTCACTCCTGTAGTCTGGTGTCCCTTATCAGCCTGAAGCACAGCTCCTGCTCAGTACCATTGGGAGAGCTTATCATTGTCTCTTGGCAGCTTCACCAGTACTCTGGACACCAGGCAGATACGTGTTTGCCCCATGGGCTTTCAATATTTGCTAAATGAAAAAGTCAGCCAATGAATTAGGGGTTCAAATTATCAGACCCCCGTGACAGTGCTGTTAAGTGGTTAGAGTAGTTGGCCACCAGGGCTAGGCTGACATTGTGGGTCTTTCAATTTCCCAGGTGAAGTGAAGTGATTTTAGTTCTCTGAGGCTTCGTTTCTTATCTTTAAAGTACAGGGAGGAATACCTTCCCTTGGTTGGTTAAATGTGACAGTCTAATGCACAGTGCTTAGCACCTGTGGGACAAGTTAACAGTGCTTATCAGTTTATATACTACAGTCACAGCTAAAATTAGCTTGTCTTTTGCAATGGATAAATGAATTAGAACATAAATAAATAGTTGATGAGCAATCAAAACAAATTGGTTTAGTGTAAGTGAGGCCCGGGTCTACGGACTAGTATCACCACCAAAACAACAACAACAACAACAACACACTTTGGCAAAACAAGTTGTAAACTTACTCAACCTAGCTGGTTAGTCAAGAGACTGGAACTAACAGAACAATATGCATGTCTCTCCTCCAAAACTAGAAAATTGTTCTAATAGTATTTAAAGCCGTTATAACACTACTTTTTTTTTTAATGAAGCAGACTTTGTTAATCAAGAAAAGACCACGAATAGTTTTAAGTGTGGGCATTAGTGTGAGAAAGAATTGCTTAGGGAAAGAATGGTACACATTTCAGTACAGAGGTGAGCTTTTCAAGAGGCAGCTACCAAAAATGCTTCTAATTTTTAAAAATGAACATTGTTTATATTATTTGTTTGCTTGTGTGTTGGTGTGATATATGTGTCATATATATATGTGTGTGTGTGTGTGTCATATATATATATATGTCCATGTGAGCATATTCAAGTGCACACACCTACACATGTACATGTGGAAGCCAAAGCACAATGCAAGCTTTCTCTTTCTGTTACTCTCTGTTTTATTGCCTCAGGTCAGGATCTCTCAAATAATAATAAAATAATAATAATAATAATAATAATAATAATAATAATAATGGCAATAACAATAATAATAATAGCTACAAAGGACACGGTAAATTAGGGATAACATTTGAGATTCAATACAATAGAATGTAAAATCCTATTTCCTGTACCTGTGCTTTTAGTAGTAGCTGAGTGAATCTGGTGGACTGATGTGTGTCACCCCTTCTCTAGGACTACCAATGTCATCACTAAACTGGAGCTTTGGAGGAGGGAAACCAGAATTAGAGGATGACAAGAAGTATCATGGGAGATCCATGAAGTCAAGTCAGGTCCCTCAGCAAAAGCCTTAGATTGAACCAGGTCCAAGACTAAGGCCATATCTCAAAAGGGTTGTTTTTTGTTTGTTTGTTTTTGTTTTTAGTGGTGCTCTGGCCTTGCTAAGCAGAGGCCTGGAAGGAGCTCTAAAGGTCTTCTTCTGCATCTCACCCCAGGTTCAGTGATGTGGAAGAGGATATTAGATGCTTTGCCACCTACATCTGGCTTTTTTTTTTTTATTTTGTTTTCACCCTTCTCACTGTCTTGTGCCAATCATAGAATTGTACTTCAGAACCTTAGTCATCAGTGGGCAGGCAGAGTATGTTTGTTCTACTTCATGTGAAAACAACTGTATTCCAAGCTTGTGGGCCAGCTCTCTCTGTGCTACCATGGAGACAGGAGGGAAGGACACAAGAAGGGCAGCAATGGATATCCAAGGAGGATGGTTCCTGCAAGGACTGCTATCAAAGGCTCATTAGCTGTTGGCTGGCCTGGTATCCTACTCTGGTTGCATTTGACCCCCTCAAAGCTCCAACCGGTTCCAGTTCTATCTAGTTGGAAAACTACTAGGTTAAGGCCTTGCTGCTTGAGTGTGGCTTGTGGCCAGAGAGCATCTGTACCATCAGGGTGTTTGATAGCAGTTGGAAACAGGATCTTCCAGTCCGCCAAGACCTTCTGGATCAGTACTGTCATTTTAAAAGACCCCTGGGGGATTTTTATGCACCTTCTATATTGAGATGTGTGAGGTTTGAATTCCAATTAGACTGTATATAGACCTTTAGAAGGCTCCAGGCTCAAAGAAACTTCAGTCACTCAGTCACCATCTACTCCGACAAGGACTTGGAGAGTCCAGTCAGACAGGTTCTCTCTGTAAAGAAGTGGGCCCTCAGCTTTGGGCCGCAAAGAAATCTTGGAGCATGATAGAGCTAGACCACAGCTGAAGCCCAACTCTAGTAAGCCCCAGGCACTCCTCTCTTAGGCAGGGACCCTAGGCTTTCTGTGCACTCTGTCTGGGCTTCCTGTCCTCACCATTCACGTTTTGACTCATAAACTCTCAGAATTCTCACTTCCTTCATCCCACTCAGCTTTTGCATCTGACAACAAAAATTCAGCTTCCCTGTTCCATAGCCCCTTGTGCACAATTTGTACTCATGGTGGTTTGTCTAGGAAACTACTGGAAAGCCGCCTTCTGCCGAGATTCACCTTAGCACTGTCTTCTGACTCTGGGTGGTGGGGTTGGTGGAGAGAGAGTATATGTGAAAGCCTCTGCATGGTACTAGTAGCCCATCTCCAGTACACTAACCCACTTTCTAGGCTTTGCAACCAGCCTTTTCCCCTAGTTTTAGACCTGGGGACTACTGCTACTCCTGGCTGGTTGCTGAGCTTTCATTATACCCTGCCCTCAACTTGATCAGAATTCCTTTGGAAAATAAACCTACCCATGGTGATTCGGATGAGAATGGCTCCCACAGGCTCACATATTTGAACGTTTGGTTCCTACTTGGTAGACTGTTGAGGAAGGATTTAAGATGTGTGGGATTGTTGGATGTGTGTCAGTTGACATGGAGTTTCAAAAAGTCTAAACCAGGTCAAGTCCCACCCTCTCCCCAACCCCTGTCACCACCTCTCTCTGCCAAGTGCTTGTGGATCAAGTATAAGCTCTCAGCTATTGCTCCAGCTCCATTCCTGCCTTCCTGCAGCCATGCTTCCAGCCATGATCATGGACCCACCCTCTGAAACTGCAAGCAAGCCCATAATTAAATGTGCTCCTTTCTAAGATGCCTTGGTTAGGGTGTCTATTCATAACAATAGAACAGTAACAAAGATACTAACTCACATTGTCTTAACTTGAGTGAACCATGCTGGGATCTGATTGGCACAGCTGGAGCTGGTTACATCACGGAAGGGAGATGCCACCCCAACCCACAGTGGTATCTGTAGGGTAAGACTTGTCAGAATCCAGCATTGGCTTACAACACATATCACAAGGATCTGTCTCCTTCAGAGAGATGAGTGTGGGGGTTACAGAGCGTTCCCAACTATCAGCTAGCCACAGGAAAAGAAAAGAAACACCCATCCAGGCAGAGCTGAGCAAAGGCTGAAGCCCTTTGTTTTGCATAGTACAGCAAGATTCCCATACAAATGAAGAGCAGGGTTCCGTGACACACCCAGTGCCTTCCAGCTCTGAAGCTGTGAGGCTGCAAACAACTCCTTTCTTCTGCACCCTCTTTGTGTGTGTGTGTGTGTGTGTGTGTGTGTGTGTGTGTGTGTGTGTGAGAGAGAGAGAGAGAGAGAGAGAGAGAGAGACAGGGGCAGCTAGCTGGTGGTAAGTGTGTTGATTGAGAAGAGGAAAGATTGCTACTTGCCTTGGTGCCTCATTTCCACCTTTTCAACAGGCTCACTGTGACTGACCCTGAGGGTGCAACTGGGTTGGGTTAGGATAGACTTTACAGATGATGCTGGCTCAGAGGTTCAGAAAGTCAACATGCAGATTTCCTAGGGTTGCTTAGCCTGGAAAGCAGATCTTCAAAAGAAGAGTGAACTAGAGTGAGGGAGCCGACTACAGGTGTGACTAGAATGTGAAAATCCCAGCCCTGGGCCACAGGAAGTTTGGCTGACATAGGGCAAAGTCACTGCAGGGGTAAAAACCAGTGGGATATTGTTGGATACTGGCCAAAATGGCCTGGGCAGAGACTTAAAGCATCTATGACATTAAAGGTAGCCTGTATTTTAGGCAACAAAGAATATCTAGGCTTATCCTTGAGGTAGGGATGGAAGAGGATTGTCATGAAGCTTAGGGGCAGGGAAAAAGAATTGAGGAGGGTGGCACATGAGGCCAGGGTTTGAGGGTTTACTCTAAGCCTCTCACTAGAGAGAGAGACTAGATTATTGAGTTTGACTCTGCAGTGGTCAGTGAGGGACTCAGCAATAAAGCAGAGCAGTGTGTCTGTCTCCTCTCCAGATCTCAAAGCTGCTTTTCCTGTTGCTGTCACAATGACTGACTTGGCAGCCCAGGTGTGGCTGAGTCAGCAGGCCCCAAGGTATGAGTGGCCTGGATCTAGGGAGCTGGGGTTGGCTGAGTGCCTGATTGGAGGAGAGCCAGTCCCTTCGTGCAGCAGGCATTGCCTCTCCCTTTCTGAAAGGTCCAAGCTGCCTTTCCTAGAACAAAGAGTTTGACCAAGTGTCTTGGTTCACCTGGGACTGGCTTGGCTTTTGATCACTGTCCCTGGAAACCTCTGTAGTATAACATGATGAGGCCCAAGGATTGACATCCTTGACAGGTGTGAGGAGTGGCCACGGGTAAAGTGAACAAGTGTTGGTGC